TGGCCTAAGGGGTATTTTAATTTGGTTTTAAAATAATTTTAAAAAAGAAAAGGCCAACAATTAAATATTTCATTTTAACTACTTTTTAAATTTAGTATTATTGTATTAGTTATTCTGTTTTAAACTGGCTGTAAGCCGCCCTGAGTCCGCTAGGAGAAGGGCGGGGTATAAATTTGAATAATAAATAAATAAATAAATAGATTTTTTTAAATTATAAAATATTTCTTCAGAATTTTTACAGTTGGAGAAAGAGGATTTCTTTGAATAAGTAGTCATTTCCATTATATCATTTCTTGTTTCACATTGGCTCCAGATGTTCTTCCCTCCATGATAAATCCTGCTGGGACAGAATTGATGAAGATGAGTTTGTATCTTCAGAAATTCAAGTGGATTCCAGTCAGTTCCCACTTACAAAGGGGGAAGAGGGGCAACAGATTTTCAAGTTCTATTGGCTGGATGCTTATGAAGATCAATATAACCAACCAGGTATGTTTATATTCAACGTATGCCTGTGTCGGATTCCAGACTTATACTTTGTGATCCCAAAGCTTTCTCTAATGGGAGTAATTTAATAATTAACTAAATAGGGTAGCTTTACAGCATTCTGAGATGGGAAACAGGTAAAAGCTATAGAGTAAGCCTTGAAATAGATATAGCATGACTTAAATGCAAAGTTCCTCCAAAACCAAATAAAACTAGGGAAAAAATAGAACCTAGTTTGAATCTACATGTATGATATATCCTAAGTGACTGTCATTTCATTCACCATAGCCTTCAGTTTGTAGAGTGCTCCAGGAAAACAGAAATTGAAGTGGAAAGAAAAGTTTTAAGAAACCTGTCGTTTTTCCATTGCAGAGATGGAACTGAAAGCTTCCTAAATGTATAGTGCTTAAAAATAATTACGTGTGAATTGTAAAGCCAAGGAACTCCAAAAGGTTCCATGGTACTAGTTTCATTTATCTGTTTTTTTTAAATCTAGATCTTTACTGTCATTTAGCCCACTTAGTCATTTGCACATTGGATTCAGGAAGGAGGAGAGTAAAGATTAATTACCAATATTTCATGTAAAAAAAAATAGAGCAAGAAATCAATTAACATTCATTTATAGCTCAAATAAGAGTTATATACATGTATGTATGTATGTATGTATGTATGTATGTATGTATGTATGTATATATGTATGCTATATTAACTATACAGAAAAGTTTTGTGGCAGTAAGTAATAATCATTGAAGCTCTGAAGAAATTGGTGACTAATATGAAAAGAAAAAAGTGGCCCCAAAGACCCCTGTACAGTGTGATCTTAGATTCGGTATAGTAGCTTCTGAATGATGTATAATTATGAAAAGACTTCTGTTCCTTGATTATGAAAAGAGACCCTATCATCATAACTTTTCAAGGATGAATAGTAAAGACTGCACCTGGTTTCAATTAGTAATGCGGAGAGAAAAAAAATTGCCATTACTTTTTGTTTTAAAAGAATCATGATCCTTATACAGTAGCAAATGAGATATTAACTAAATTATGTGGAAGACATATCTTATTGCAAAATGAATGAGAATTTCATATGCATGTAATCAGGGCTTTTTTTCTCGGAGAAAAGGTGGCGGAACTCAAACCTGGCCACGCCCTCATCAAACCCTAGGACCGCCCCTTTAGAGAACAGGAATGCAAGTAAAATTTGGGAGGGGCTATTTCCGGTGCGGCCGGCCCGGAAAAAGGTGCCGGAACGCGGTTCCGCCGCGTTCCGGCTGAAAAAAAGCCCTGCATGTAATATTAACATGTCATGCTAAACCATGATTTACTGATATTTGCATCAACGTCTGCAACTCTAAGCAAAGTTTTGCTTGTGCTCTCCATTCCTCTTCCTATATTGTTTGAAAAAGACTTAAATCAGCAATCAGTTCCTACCGGGTGAATTAATCCATGTAATGAAGCCATACCTGGGTATTTTATGAATCAGGCCTAATGCACCCAATAGCTGTCTGAGACCTTCCAGGAATGGGGAGGAAGGAGGCCCCCGTGCTGCTTGGCCTAGCCAGCTGAGACATTCTGAGCATGGTGGGGCAGGGAGAAGGACAGGCATATTGGCAAACCCCTGAAGTTTGATCATGCGACTGTGAGGTTGCTGCAACAGTCAGAACTTCAAGCAGGGATCTTAAGTCCCTTCGGTATCATAATTTTGAATAGTCACATAATAAATAATCATAAGTCGAAGACTACCTGTAATGAATGATAACATTTGTGCATTTGAACTTTCAGAATGTTGCACCTTGGGTTCACAAGATCTGATACATATTTTGGATCTCCTTGACTTTTCCAAACACAAAATTCTGAGGAATCTGAAAGATTGCACATTTTACTAGAATTTTGGCTATTCTTTATAAAGATTCTAATCATATGTCAATATTAAAATTGCATATTAAAAGAAACAGAGCTATATGATTTTGAACAAGGGAATAGAAATTCTAAAAAAGCCTACTTTCAAGACCCTTTCATGATAAAAAGATGGTATGATATGTGCCTACAAAATTATTGAAGCAATCTCCGTGACTGCTGACTTTCAGCAGACAGAGTTGTCAAAGAGAGACTACAAATTGGAAATCATTTTTTGTTCCCAAGGGTGAATTAGTGTGTTTATTCAGTAATTTGTAGCTTTTCCATTAGCAGCTGTGCTAAACTGTTCTGATTAATGCGCATTGTCTCTATCGTTTTCTATCATTTTAGGAGTGGTATTTCTCTTTGGAAAAGTATGGATTGAATCGGCACAATCTTATGTGAGCTGCTGTGTAACAGTAAAAAATATTGAGAGAACTATTTATTTACTGCCACGTGAATCGGTACGTTTTCTTATGTTACAGTATTCTCATCTGATAATATCTCTCATCTGTTTTATGGAAGGCAGAAGGCATTAAGGCAGACATAACTGACATTGTTCGCATCTGCGTTATAGAATTAAATGTGAAAATGAAACTGTAGATTAATATAATCAACCGGTAAGTCTACAGTATCTAACATGAGACCATAATACATAAAATCCAAAAAGCACATGGGAGTACTAAGATTCCAATCTAAATTGCTGCTCTTATTTTTTTTTTTTTTAAGTAGCTTGATTTAGTACATAGGCTGTTTAGTACCATTTCACTGCTTTCATAACCTACAACCTAGCTTGGATACTTTGGGTAAACCTCTTTATTTTTCCATCCCAGCTGAAATATAGCTATTCATTTTTCTTTTCCTTCATTGTCTTTTCTGGCTTTCTGACAGCTGAGTGGTAAACTGCCTTTTTGTCTCTAAGTAAGTCTATGTTATACAACAACCAACCCAAATGGTTCATATTGGGTTAAATAGCCGAGTAGAAATGTTAAAACAATAATAGCTATGATCTGAGTCTCCAATGATAATTCTGATCTGCTGAATCCAGAAAGCAGTTTTCTGGGAGATTACTTGAAGAAAACTACCTATTTATATTTTAGAGAAATACTTGATTTTCTGTAACCTTGAAGTGTATACATTGGTATTGCAATGATTGTAAAAATTCTTCTTAAAGCGAATTGAGTTAATCTCTGAAAAAGAAACAGCGATTCCTGTGACTATGATGGACATCTATCAAGAATTTAATGACCAGATTGCAGAGAAATATAAGATCATGAAATTCAAATCCAAGGTTTGTTAAACATTCTGTCACTTCCCAATGATGCTCCTAAACATGGAAATCTTATTCTTTTTTCATTGTCCATGGAGAGGAAAATTGTGGGGTCCCTTCATTTAAAGGAACAAGAATTAATAGAGATTATTTTACTGAAGCAGAAATTTGAGAAACGTGAGGCTGTTGTTCATCATGAGATATTGAAATGGATTTTTCTTGTTTATGGGATATATAGCACATTTTTTTAAATTGACAAGAATCTCTGAAATACTCCCTGTTTGATGGAATTTTGCAAAGATTTTTAACTGGGGACAGATCTAATTTCCTCTCCACTTTGGTGCTCCTTTTCTTTCTAAATAAAAGAACATAATATAAAAAGAAAAATGAAGCCCAGTCATGCCTGACAAATTGAATCTACTATAGATTCTGATGTACATATATTGCTCTAGTTCTTATTTACATGTTATTTTTCTTTTAGTAAATATGCCTAAGTACTAGGAATCTAGTTTTGTTGCTTGTTGAATTATTCTTTATTATATTGGAATTGTATGAAATATAGTATGCATATTACATACTGTTGCTTTAAATGTACACCTAAATAGAACATAAATTGATGATTTCATAATATAAGGTATAAGGACAAAGAACTATAGAAAAAATCACCATTGTGTCTTTTAGAAAAAATAGTGAAATGTTAGATATAATGGACCAATTTAGATGTTATGTTTTCAACTTTATAAATCGTAACGTATTGATTTGGAAATGAATGAATGATCCACTTTTTTTCTCCCACCCCCAATTTCTATATCTGTTTCGGTATATAAATTCTATTTTAGGTTTGGTCTATTATAAGTAGTCCTCACTTAATGATCTTAATTGGGACCAGAATTTCCATTGCTAAGCAAAGTGGTCATTAGGTGAAGTATCACATGAGCACATCACTTAGTGAGAGCAGTTCTGGTAGTCTTAGTTGTGGGCATTAGGCAAGGACCATTAGATGAGAACCTCATGGTTCTCCTGCCATGCCATGCTCACCTCTGCTTCAGTTCTCCTTGCCTGTCTCTCTCCTTGCCATGTCTGCCCTTTGGGCCACCTTTCACTCCACTGCCACAGCATGTCCCTGCTATCCCCCTCATTGCCTCCAGCTGATCTTCACTGTTTTCTTTCTCTTGCTGCTGACAAAGTGCATCCAGCTGAGATAACTGCTGGCCCTTTGTGATGCTGCATGATGCTTCCTGACACTGTCAGAAACCTTCCTGAGAAGATAGGCAGATGGTGGCAGTTGAAGTGCATGTATACATGAGTTAAATAATTATGTAATCTTCAGGTTATGTTTAAAGAGAGAGATCTGTATTATCATAAAATGGATTTCACAGTACAGATTTTAAAACTGAAAACAAAGAGTAAATGTTTTGGACTAAAGAAATATGCTGTTCAGAATATATTAGTGCCTGATATTATATGATATATGTGATATATGATGTATATCTTTTTATTTTTTTAAAAAATATATTTTCATAGAAAGTGGAAAAGAATTATGCTTTTGAGATACCAGATGTTCCTGCAAAATCTGACTATTTAGAAGTTAGGTACTCGGTAAGTAAATTGTAGTATAAAATGGTATATGGAGCCATGGTTGAAGAAACATTGAGTGCATTAGTATATATGTGTACTCATGTAATTTAAAAAAAAACCAATTTTACGCTTGAAATATTCTATGTATTAAATCTAACAGGTTAAAATTTAAAATTATAAAAAGATGCAAATACTACTCTGTTATATATTTGCTGGCTATTCTAATTTCAAAAGTGCTATTGCAAGTAACAGAATTTGTTAGAAGATTAATCTGAGGAACCAGAAAGTTATTTGGATGTCTTTACAGTGGTAAGACAATAATTCCATCAGTTGCATAGAAGCATGTACCTCCATCTACTGTATATTTCTGAATTCTGGACTAGATGACCTCCAAGGTCCCTTCCAACTTTATTATTATTATTTTTATTATTATTATTTGTTTATTTATTTATTTTAGAATCGTTGGTATAGCGCAAGCACTCTTTTTTTCTATCTTTGCAAAAATTGCTATAATCTTTTGTGAATTGATAACATGAACTGAAGGGGATTCATGCCCAATATGAACTAATTGCTTAGTTGTGCCATAGAAATATACTCATGCATTTGTGTTCCCTATAATTATAAAAATTTAAAAGTTAACATAAATACTATGGCAGGTTATCAATGGAGGTTGTTAAGATTTGGATATGGGATGCTCATGTATTTGAAGTAACTCTATCACTTGAGTCTGTTCATTGCATTACACTACAATTTCTTCAACAATATATCAGAGTTCATTGAATTCAACAACATATTAGCCATAAATAAGTCATTGTCACTCTGCTGACAATCCTCCAAACAAAATTCATCAATCTATTTTGTATCTTCATGCAATACATGAATATTTTTATATCACTTTGATTAGAAGTAATGTAAGTTTCATAAACTGCGCATTATTGCTCCTAGGAAGTTTTAATTTTTAATGCTTTACATTTCTCATGAGTATTTCAGTATGGGTTCCTGGTATAATGAGCTTTATTATTTGCGTCTTTTGTACAAACAGATGTGCAGAAAATGGTCAGTTATAAAAATTGGCAAAGTTCTGTTTTAATTTAATAGTAAAATAGTTTAATATTTCAATTCTCAGGCTGAATATTGTCGATTACCACAAGATCTGAAAGGAGAGACATTTTCTCATGTATTTGGAACAAACACTTCAAGTCTAGAGCTTCTGTTAATTAGCAGGAAGATTAAAGGACCAAGTTGGCTGGAAATAAAAAATCCACGTATGAACCTTTTCTATATTATATTTCTCTACACAAAATTCAGTCAGATACATGTAAAAGGGAAATCTGCTAAACCTTATGATTGCTGTGTATATTGTTTGGAGTCAAATAAACTGTCCACCTAGCAACAGTCAGATATTTTGTACAGCTCATATTTTTAATCATATTATTTTATAATAACATACTATTTTATAAATATAAATTTATTTTATTTATGGATACCTGCTTTATAATTTAGATGCATATAATGGATTAATATAAATATATGGCTTATATTTGAAGAGTTCAGGGCCCAGTTCTACTAACATATTATTAAACTGCAAGAGAGCCGTGGTGGTGCAGTGTGGTTAAAATGCAGTTTTGTAGGCTAACTCTGCCCATAGTCAGGAGTTCGATCCTGACCCGCTCAAAGTTGACTCAGCCTTCCATCCTTTGGTAAAATGAGAAGCCAGATTGTTGGGGGTCATATGCTGACTCTGTAACTGCTTAGAGAGGGCTGTAAAGCGCTATGAAGCGGTATATAAATCTAAGTGTTATTGCTATTACTATTGCTGCAAACTGTTACTTAGCAAAATAATTACATTAACCATATTTAAATATTAGTGTGCTTTTATTGATGTCTAAAGAAGGTTTCTGTGTTACTTTAGAGTTGTTGAGTCAGCCTGTCAGTTGGTGTAAAGTGGAATTAATGGCACTAAAACCTGACTTGATTAATGTGGTGAAGGATCTTCCTCCACCACCTCTTGTGATCATATCCCTTGCCATGAAAACAATTCAGAACACAAAGACTCATCATAATGAGGTAAGCTATGATTATTGTGGGTTGAGAAAAAACAAAATGTTGTGGTTATTTGACAAAATACATTTTCCATAGCTGTGCAAATTTGCTTTTATATCCTTCAGGTCTGAAGCACATTTTTGATGCACTCCTCATCCTTTTTTGAACACAAGACCCTGAAGCATTTGTTTTTAACTGTCTTTTTAATGATCAGTATTTTTATTATATAAATAACTTTTTGAAGATTTTGAGTATCTATTTGAAGAAAATATATATACAGTCTAATCACAGAGCAACATAGTTAATGTGGAAAATGTAGAAGACAAATGAGCAAAAAAGGAAAAGAGTATAGAAAATGAAGTTTAAAGCATTATTTTCTAAAAAGTATACAGATTTTGTTGCATATTGATAGTAACTAATTTCTAATTGTCTGCATGGAGAAGAACCTTTCCACTTAGAATAGAATATTCTTTATTGGCCAAGTGGGATTGGAATTTGTCTCTGGTGCATAAGCTCGCAGTGTACATACAAACAACAAAGTAATATAATCAAAGCTACCAATAGTGGAAGGTAATAGGAAAGATGAAAAGGATAATAGTAATACAGCACTACTACATGAGTAAATATCCTTATCACAGTGCTGTGAGAATTAGGTGTTCAGCAGAGTGACGGCATGAGTGGAAAAAACTCTGTGTCTAATTGTTTTGGCATGCAATGTTCTGTAGCAGTGTCCTGAGGGAGGAGTTGAAATACAGGTAGTCCTTGAGGTACGAACCTAATGGAGCCTGCCCATTACGATTCTAAGTCAAAAAAATTTGTCAAATGAATCAGACTCAATTTTACACATTTTTAAAACCAAATTCATTAATTGAATCAAATGGGTCATTAAATGAATGAAGATCTGACTTACTATTTCCTCCTATTTATGAATTGATCGCTGCTATCATTAACTGAGAGGCTTTTCCCACCGGACGCCCATTAGCTGTTTCCAGTGCAGACTTGGCTCAGGAACTAAATTGCCTCCAGGAAGGCTTGCAGCGATCGCAGTTGCTTTTTTTTTTTTAAACCACTTGTTGCTAATCAGCTCAAATGTCTTCAGCTGCTTGGGGTGGTGGTGGTGGAAATTTAAAAAAAAAACACTTGCCACTAATTAAGAATCTCCAGTAAGGTACCCAGAGGGAGATGGGGGAGGGATTTACAGAATTCTCAGTTTGCAACAGTAACAGAAATGGAAGGGACCTTGAGGTCATTTAGTCTAACCCACTGCTCTCACAAGAGAGTATTTGTGATAAATGCCTACCCAGTCTCTTTTTAAAAGCTTCCAGTGATGGGGCACCCACAACTTCTGGAGGCAATTTAAATTTAAAACCTAAAAGCTACAGTAATATACACTGATCTCCAAAATAAAAGCAAGGAAACACAACTATAGAATGCTTTGTGTAGATGCTGGCTAGCATTTCTACAAGCAGTTTCAAGACAAATGCAAACAAACTTTATCTTTTCAAAATACTATACTTACAAACATAATAGTTTGGAAAGTACAATACTTAAAAAGAAGCAGAGCAGTTCCCAAAGTGCTTACAAACAGTACAGTACTGTAGACTAACAAAAAAGAATATTTTAAAATACTTAAAGAAGCAATTCTAGCACTCCAGTCCTCAAGCCCAGGCAGCAGCAGATCCTCCATGCAGTACCAAGCCAGGCTGCAAAAATCACCAGATCTTGTTTGGCCATGTGTCCAGGGACAAAAAAACAAACAAACCCCTGCCAGCTTCTTAACCCCATATGGTCCAGCAAGTCACAGAGTTAAAAATGGCCACTGCTGCCAGTAGTGACTGAATCCACGTCATATGGCTACAGAGGCCTCTTTTTGGTCGCAGTTTTGAATTTCTAATGTAAGTATCCTTTCTGAATAAATTCATTCCCGTGAAAATTTGTTAAATAAATGTTCATACCTGGGGGAATTACCTATAGTTACTGTCCAGGCTGTGAGAGTCTGTAGATTATTTCTCAGCCCTCTTTCTGGCTCATGCAGTACAGATATAATGGAAGGCAGGCTGGTTGCAATAGTTTTTTCTGCAGTCTTAACTATCCTTGAACTATCCTATCTGCCTGTCCTGTTTGGTTGCTGTACTTATGCTTAATTGTCAAAATTTGAATAATAGCATTAATAAGAAACTTTTTAAAAAGTTTGCTTTTCCTTTTACTTCCCTTGCTCAAGACAAGGTTAACCTCTTAATAAAATTATTATTTTCTGTCTCTTCAAAAAATGTGTAATTGAAATGAGTTGGTAAGAAAGTATATTCTTATTTTAATTGTTGCTATGTGAAGTGTTTTGTAATTGCTCAAAATGTGAAAAATAAGAAAGTGATGAACTAATTTGTAATTAGTATGAGTTGCATAGAAAAGGTGTATTTACACAGCATACAAAGAAAAGTGTTTCTTGACAGGTTGTTCCAAATAAAAACAATATGTAGTCAACTCTGAATAATGATGCATGGTTAGATTTATTGAATAGATTACTAAATCTATGCTTAATTTAACAAGTGTTAACAGATGAATGAGAATATGATTTCATTAATGTCTCTCATTCTTTTACTATTTTTCTTTGATAGATTATGGCTATTACAGCTTTAGTGCATCACAAATTTTATCTGGACAAAGCACCACCTGAGCCTCCCTTTCAGACCTACTTCTGTGGTACGTATAATTAGAAACTTACTGTGTTAATTTGCTGTTAATTATTCCTCTGCTTTCCAAATAAATGTTTTAATAGGCTTTTGAATATCATTTGACAACCATTATTATTATTACTGTTGTCTTGGTTTTATTTTGGGCTGCCTTGCTACCCTATCAAGAACATTCTAGTTTAATGTGGACTATTTTCATAAGCATAAGCACTGTGTGAAAACTGCCCCCCCCCCCAAAAAAAAGACTTAGTGAGTTTTAACACTAGTGCTTACATTTCAAGATGGTCACTACCGAATGAAAACCCTCTCCATCTTTTGGCCTTCTCTGAAAATAAGTATAGCATTAGGGATGAGAAGCAACTATAATGAATGTGGGCAACACAATATCAATATTTACAAATCTGTCAAAGATGGTATCTACATTGATATCTAAATAAGAGTTGAATGTAAACAAATGTAGTTAATGAATTGAGAGAAGAGTTTAGGATTATACATCTTAAAGAAGATCAGTGTATATTTGGGTGTCAAGAAAAGAGCAGCAACGTTGCTTTAAATAGCTACCAATTATTTGCCATAATGTGGGTAATGATTCTTTGTAACTGTTAAAAACACTCTTACAGAAAATATGGTTGAAGCATTGTTAATAAAACAGAGACAAAAATCTGCATGGAGATCCATGATCTCTCTGAAATAGCATTTTTTCCCTATTCATGACTAGTCTTTTTTCCTATTTCCCTGGCCACAGAATACAGGGAAGCCTCTTTTACTAGTTAACTGAGAAGGACTTTTTCAAAGAGCATTTGAAATTAGGACAGGAAATTAAGGCATAACGTCTAATCCTACTTTATTAGGTGAAAATGAGAGAGAAACAAAGCTGGTAGTCTGAAGTTTATTGTGATGTAAGGATGTGAATATAGGATGTAGGTAACATTAGAAATTTTAAAGTTAATGAAATGAAATTTATAGTACGTTTTGTGAATGCATGAGTTTTATCCAATTGGAAAAAGCAGCTAGGAAAGGTTTATTTCCTGTACTTATGTCTTGTAAATAAAAAGTAAGGAGATTTTGAAGACTATAGTAATTGAAACAGAATATGAACAGAATTGTAGCTGGGTGCTTGTAGAGAAGTTAAGTCTAGTAAACAAAGATTGTCTGAATTATAATTGAGTGGGATAAAGAATGTCAGTGGGCATAGAAAACTGGTGGAGAAACTGCACTCAAATAAATATTATGCTTAAAATGTTTATGAGATATCCAGTTAGACCTATCAGTTAACATATAATCTGAATCTGGAAAATCAATGAGATCTGCCATAGAAATATATAGTTTGGAGTCATCAGTGTATGATGTAATGAATATTGGTATTCAGTAGTATTGGATGTACAGTATATGTGTTTGTGCATGTCTCCTCAAATACATGCAGAGAATAAGGGTCAAAAGAACAAAAGTGATCAGAAAGGAATAAATGAGGTATTTCATGCAACTTTCATCAAAGCATTGTAGAATATGAATTAAAATTTGCTTCTAAAGTATGGCATTTTGGTTTACTTTTCTTTAATATATTTTGCAGTTGTTTCCAAACCAAATGATTGCATTTTCCCATATGATTTCAAGGAAATCCTTAAACAAAAGGTAAGTTTAGTTTTCTCATTGCTTTGCATTCTGTAACTTTCCCCTTTGAAAAAAAATAAAGTTTTTATGATGATAAAGATTCTTTCCACTAGATCAGCGGCACCCAACCTTTTGGGCACCAGGGATCAATTCCGTGGGGAGAGGTTTTTCTGCAGACCGGAGGGGGCATGGTTTCGCATGCTGCCTGCATCCCGTGGATGGGGCTTCACTTGTTTGTGCAGCCCAGTTTCTGGCATGCTGCGGACCGGGGTTGGTCCATGGACCAGGGTTTGGAACCACCATAGATGGTGATGAAAATGTTGATTCTGATTTTTTTTCCTAAATAAATATTTTATTAACAGAAACTCACTGTCTCACTTCAAGAATCATATCCAAGGCCCTGGAAATAAGTCAGTTTGTTCCGGGATATTCCCGTGATTGTGCAATCCCAGATAGTGAATCTGGAATATAATTTGGGAAAAAATATATTTGTTTTCCTGTAATGTTGAAAAATCCCAATTTCTTTTTGTCTGTTTGATTGTGTACCTTCAGGTTGGTATTAACTCTTAGTGATCACATACTCTATGACAATCTATCCCACACATGACCCTTCAGGTCTTTCCGCAGGGCATTCTTCACCATTATAATTGAGTTGTCCTTTCCTCATTCCTTCCACCTTTCCTAGCATTATAGATCAAGAGAGCAGAGGAGAGTATACAGGATGGTCTCAATCCTTTGCTGACCTGGAGCCAGTCTGTTTTATTATGTTCCATATGCACTGTGGTTTCCTGCGTTATGTAAATGTTGTATATGAGGATGAGATATTCTGGGACTTCCATTTTCCTAAGCACATTCCACAACTTGACAGGATTGATTCAATTAAAGGTGTTTCTATAATCAATTAAGTTAGGTATTGTTTTTGGTATTCCTTGTTTTTTTCAATTATCCTGTATGCATCAGCAATAATGTTATTTGTTCTTTGGCTTTCTCTAAAGTCAGCTTGAACATCTGGCATCTCCCATTCCATCCAGAGATCTAATCTATGTTGGATGATCTTAATATTCTTTTTTTCTCTAGTAATGTTGAAATGATTGCTTGGTTTACTATAGCAACGAAGCAGATGGGCAGAGAGTTAGACTCCAGTTGCCCATGGAAGAGTTTTCATGATAATTAGATTAAATACAAAATGGGGCCTCCTTTTAGGCTTATTTAATATCCTTCTGTATGACTCTTGAGGCAGATTTCCTGATAGAAAATACTTGCCTGTTCTCTGGATGCAGTGAAAGCACGAAACAACCTCAGTAATTATCAGTTTCATATAGGTTCCTTCTAGCTTATAGATGTGTACAGAATTTACAGAGAAATGAGAGCGCTACTTGTTTACCCCACTTTTGCCTTTTTTGTCTGTTTAAAACATCTAGTCTAGGATTGGCCCCTTGCTTAAGAGAAATCAGTCCCATCACTGAAATAGTGCCATCTTCTGGGGCTCAGGAGATGTGCGTTCTCCACTGCAGGTTCTGCCCTATGAAACAGTTTTCCATCAGAGAGCCAGGTGGCGGCAACCCTGTTGGTCTTCCAGAAGGATGAAAACCCCCAGGCTTTTCACACAGGCATTAGGCCAGGTTGTTCTTGGAGCCTAATATTGATGAATGTGTGATTGTATTTTGTATTCTTATTTTATTAAGATTGTTGCATTTGTTATTTATGCCATCTTTACTGCTTTTGTGTATGAGCCAACCAGAGTTATTTGCTTAAGATGGTGGCATATAAATTTGCTAAGTAAATAATATGTTTAATGCTTCCTTGAGCACAAGGCAATTACACAATTACAGTGAGTGAGACAAGAGCAGCTCTTCTTGAGCTGGCCAGCTGTAGTGATAGGTATATATGCCTTGGTTACATCCCATCTTAATTGCAGTGTTTTCTATTTCTGATTGCTGTTAAGAGGCGAGAATTTGTATCAGAGTCTGGTACAAAATGCAATAGGGAAGCTGTTCATGGGTAAAGAGTTCTAGAATTGTATACTTCCTATACCAGGGATGGTAAACCTTTTAGAGATCGAGTGCCCAAACTGCAACCCAAAACCCACTTATTTATCGCTGTTTGCCAGGTGGGCATGGCCCACTGGGTGGGCATGGCTGTGGTGGTCATGGCAGACTGGGTGGGTGTAGCCAAGGTGGGCATGGTCACCTCAATGTTGCTCATGGGGAGGGATGCCTGTGGAGGCCAGGCAGGGTTGGGGGAGATCCAGGAGGTCTCTGGCAGGTGGGGTGGTGGGCAGGAGGCTCGTCCTGCAGGGTGAGGCAAGGCAAGGTGATGCAGGGGCCGTGGCGGCGGCTGCCTGACACCATCGGCCCCCACACACAGAGGCCAGTGAGCACATGGGGGCCGACGGTGTCCGTCAGCAGCCACAGCCTGCCGGCCCCTCGACCGGCACACTCTGGGGCTCCGCAGCCCGCGGCTAGCAGTTCAGAGAAGCCACCTCTGAGCTGGATGGATGGCCGACAGCTGAGGAGGCTATGCAGTGGGTCGTGCCCAGGAAAAGGAGAGCATGTGAGGCCAAGAGGGATGGGACAGGGGGGAGGGAAAACAGCCGTGCTGGGATGCATCCGGCCACGTGGGACCTCAGCGAGTTAGTGGGCGGATGGTTGAAGAGCGACAGTTGCCATCTCCGGGGCATGGCACGTGAGTGCCGCCTCTGGCACGCGTGCCATAGGTTCGCCACCACTGTCCTATACTGAAAGATCTGTGCTAGCTACTAGCTGCTTGCTGGGCACAATTTAGATTATCTTTACTGACTTTCAATGCAGGAAACAGCTTATACTCAATCTATGGGATTTCCTATCTTATTATTTATTTATTTGTTTATTTTTAATATCCCTCTTTCATTTGGGCACTTAGTGGTATACATAGCATTTGATCCTTTATTTCTCCCCACAACAGTCCTATGAGGTAGGCTGGATTGTCCAAGAAGGTCTGGATAAAAATAACCCTGTGAGCTTCTATAAGTAAAATTAGGCTAGAATAACCTGATTTTTGTTCCCCACTCTCCCAGTATTTAGCATGTTGTTAAAAGTGCATCTTGCCATTTTTGTTCATTTTAATTGTTTATTTCTTTTTTATTTGGTGTTTGACATTTATCTGTATTTTGGTTATGTCATTGTTTTTCCTGCATTTTGCATTATAACTATTGTAAGCAGCCTTGATTATCAAGCAACCAGAAACAAAAGTATACATTTAATAAATAAATAAATGGGTAGTTAGGACTTTACATATTAAGTATTCTGTTGTAATCTAGTATGGATTTCTGGATTTAGTTAATCTATGTTTTAGTGATACTAGTTCCAGAAGATAAGTATGGGATTACAATAAATAGATTTTTAAAAAATCATTTTAATTTCTGGGGTAGTAATAGTTTTTGTTAATTTTGTTTAGAATGGCAAAATAGAAATTGCCACAACAGAAAGAACACTACTGGGTTTTCTTCTGGCAAAGATTCATAAAATTGATCCAGATGTTATTGTGGTAAGTAACTGTTTCTGTAATGATCTTTTCCCTATTTTCAATGGCTGGATTTCTCAAAATATTGAGAAATATTTTGGAGAAAATATTGTAGCTAGTGAATGAAAGGAGGTTGCTCCTTAGAGAAGGAACAATCACCACCACTGTCTTCCCATCTCATTAGAAATATGGGGATTTACACTAATTCAATTTATGTCTATTACCTTGCTAATCACAGACCGAGTGCATGTGAATGAATATACTGTATAGATGAGATGGCTACTTTTTAAATGATCCAGTTTTTATCAACAAGCAAGCAGGCAAGAAGCCCCACTGTCCGTAAGCTACTCCCTGCTGCACTATCCTGGAAGGATGAGTGATAGAGGGAATAGGAGGAGCTGCTGCTTTCTCTTGCAGATTCCCTGCTCCCTATTAACCTCCCTGTTCAGGGAAGAAGTGACTAAGCATTTCAACCATTTGGATTGGGATAATCAAACTGCTGTTTTCCAGTTTTCATGAAATGTTCAGGGAAAAAAAAGACTTTCTCATTCACTATTTGATCAGTTTTTATTCGGTTGTTTTGCCTTGATCTCAATTACTATATTTTTATTCTTAATGTAAGGGGAGCAGCAAAAGAAAGAGAGTGTTAAAAAAGCATATATAGCCTGTTGTGTGCTTTCTAGTGTGTATTTACAATGCAACAAGAGGAGACAGAAATCATACGTATTTGCACACATAGACGTTACATGTTTTTCCATTAACAGAAAAATACAGATTCCTTTCAACATAATGTTGGAAGGAAATTTTGTGAAAGGATTAGGACTCTTCCCCCATTTGCAAAATAATTCTTCAAAAATACAACAGAAAGGGACAAATTTGATATATGTGTGTAAATGTGTGTTTGTGAAAGCTGGCCAAAGAAAAATAGAGTTTGAAAATGCACCAGAACCAGGGACTGCATATATCCCTGTGGAAGAACCAGTTAGGTATTATGTTTCCCCGAAAATAAGACCCGGTCTTATTTTTATTTTTGTCTCCAAAGAGGCACCAGGTCTTATTTTGGAGGGGTGTCTTTTCCACTCCGTGGCGGTGGCACCTACAGCCCCATCCAGCTGGCCCACTTCTGTGGCCGAAGGAGCAGCTTCATTCAGCATTTCGGATTCAATCTGTAGCTCGATTCTCGGCTGCAGAGGCCTTCCAGAAAGGCCTCTGATGGCGAAATGCAGGTCGGGGGACAACAACGCAAAAGAAGTGGGCCAAAGAGGAGGGGCAGGTGTCAATACATGGAAGGCCTGGTAAATGGGTGCAGGGCGTGTGAGGCAGCTCCACCCCGCACCCCCGCTCTAGCTTGATTTTTAGGCATGCGCCTCGCCTCCAAACAAGGACTTATTTTGGGGGTAGGGCCTATATTAGGCCCACCACCAAAAATCAAGCTAGGGCTTATTTTGGGGGTAGGTCTTACTTTTAGAGAAACACGGTAGTAGTTTGTAATGTTATAAAGTCTTCCATTCTAAGAGTGCCACCATCTTCTTTCCCCTTGACTCTGAATGGAACTATAGAAAAAAAAATCCAAAACTCAATGCATCCCTCTCTTGTTATGTTAGTAAAATTCCACCATTACTTTTACTGCTGAATATAAAGTGATTTTGGTAAGAAAGAATTGATTTTAGAGAGAATGATACACCTATGCTATATAGACACTAGTTCTGTTCTTTTTGAAGCAAGCCTTCAAATACTATAGACATTTATCATCTGTATAGTTTTGTACTGAATATATTGAGCAAATTATTCTGGGCATTAATTCATTGATTCATTCATTCTTTTTCAGGGCCATAATATTTATGGTTTTGATCTGGAGCTTCTGCTCCAGAGAATTAACTTTTGCAAAGTTCCTCATTGGTCCAAGATAGGTCGACTAAGGAGATCAAACATGCCAAAACTTGGGGTAAAATGCTACTTACATCTAAATTGCTTTACGTGATTAAAAATGAGTTATTTTAACTGCTGTATTACATTGTCATTACTAAATAAAGTCAAAGAGGTGATGTCATGTGACCATGCCACTTAGCAACAGCAGTGCTGGCAGTCTTGATTGCCTTGTTAACCATGGATCTCATGTAACTACAACATAAAACTTCCTGCTGCCTTCACCATTGACTTTGCTTGTCGGAAAGTGACAGGATATGTTGGAAATTGCAATCACATGAATTTGGCTCATTGCAATGTCTTAATCATGAGCCGGGTACCAACTCGGATCACAATCACATGACCTGATCATGGGGATGCTGCGACAGCCAGAACTCTGTTGGCCAATAGTAATTATCAGTTGTTCATTTTCATCATAAGTTTGAATGGTTCCTGAGTTGAATGAACACCGCCTGTATATCTAATGTAATGCAATCAGATGTACCACTAATGCTACTTTGCTTTATTTCTCCTTGGAAGTTTTGTTTATCTTCCAAATTTGTATCAGAGTTTCCCTAAATCTTTTGAAGTGGGATTGGGCAATGTGATAGAGGGAAGAAGTGTCCAGCCACTAGTGCTTGTTCCATTAAAAAAACATTGTATATACCGTATATACTCGAGTATAAGCCGAGTTTTTCAGCCCATTTTTTGAGCTGAAAAATGCCCCCCTAGGCTTATACTCGAGTCAATATTTCCCCCCAGTTCTTTGTGGACTTACAATATCCGAGCACCGTTTAAAGAGACGCCGAAGGAAGACGGTGCCCAACTGCGCGCCTTTCCCCCTTGGCGGGGTGGTCTTTTGCAAAGTCTTTTGCTCGGATATTGTAAGTCCACAGCAGCGCGGGCGGCAGCAGCAGCGGCGGCGTCTCCCGCTCCGAATTCCAGGCTGGAGTCAAGCCCTTTTCAAAAGCGCCGGCTTGGGAGCGAAAGCAAAAGGGGCGGGGGAGTGGGGCTTCGTTCACGCGCGGATCCCCTACGCTCGTATTTATTTACCGTATTATGCCCCGGCTGGCGGCGGCAGCAGAAACAGCAGCAGCAGCGCCTCCTTCCTCGGTTAGCTCCGATTCCCTCCCCCCGTGTCGCCTCTGAGCTGCAGGACTCCGCCGCTTGCTTTATAAACCCTTGGCCGCTGCTCCATCTTTCCTTTTCCCACCAACCGCCCCCCCTCCCTCGACCCCTCCCGCTTTGCAGAAACACCTGGATAGTGAGAAGCTGGAACCGGGCGGGCGAGAGAGGCGGGCAGAAAAAAAGGGGGGGAAATCCACACACGCTCGCGCAGGGAAAGGGGAAAACGGGTGGGCCGGCCGGCTCCCCTCTCCTCTTTGTGTGTGTGTGTGTTTGTCTCTCTCAATTCCCCCCCACCCCAAAAGCGGGGAGGGGGCGACCTTGCAAAAGGGAGGGGGCTTCTCCCGGTTGCGGGGAAGGCTGGAGGTGC